TTTTTTCCCCCGGTAGCAATATTCATCCGGGACACACCAGTTTGGATCCTTCCAGTCTGAAGGGAGGAAGCAGGATTTCCAAGCAATGCAAACTCTACAAGAAAGAAGAGGTTACTTACCATGGATGTCCTTCCATGCTGCCGAACCTGTTGCAATAAAAACGTTTGTTACTGTTGTATTCCACATGCGGGTGGTGTTTCTGGAGAACAGTTACAGACCACGCTTGATAGATGAAGGCAGAGAGGAGCCGGTGGTAGATCCTGCGAGCAGTGGAGTGGTGGGGTGGGAGCCCCTTCCAAATGAGGACCACGTTGCATTCAGGCAGTTTTTTCTGAACACATGCTTTCCCTGTGCCTGGGGTGTGATCTTTCACTTTTAATATTCATAGTCTAGATTTTATACTGGATAATTTCTAAAGGGATGAAAAGTCAGACTTCCCTCTTTCAGTGACAGATAAAAAGAATAACAAAGGCCCATTTTTTTGTTGTGTGGCAATTCGGTCACTGACAAAAAAAATTTTCAGATCACCTTTGCTAAACCGCCACCCATTAAATGTTACGATATGCCATGCAGCGTCGTATCCATGCTGAGCACAGAAAGAACTATAGTTTTATGAGAATATATCTCGAATTCCTCTAGGATGGGTCCCCTTTAAGATCACTTAATTAACCAAGCGGTAACCACGAGACGTGCGTCTTTGTTTGCTTTATAGAAGGACGGATTTGACTTGAACTTTCCTTCAAATCTTCCAATAAATACACCTAAAGATCACATTCAGGAAAACAAAAACACCCGCTCAGACTAATGCTCGCGTGGTATATTTCAGAGCAAAATACTAATATTGGGTGTTGCTTCTCTGAAAGCGATTTTTCACCTCTTCTATTGCCTTCTTCCGATAGCTTGGAGAGTTCCTGCATTACACACAGAGCAATTAACTCGGTACCAGTAGTTCATTAGATAAAGCCTTCCAAGACTGTTTTTGTAAAAAAAACACCAACATTTTTTTAGTTCTGCCCACTCTGGATAGCATTCAGAGCTTGCGAGGACAGTAATATCAGCATTTCTGCATTGAACACTCCCTCACCGCTCCTTTCCTTTCTTTTTTATCCTTTTTTTTTTTTATTTTTTAAATAAAAAAAGGTAG